TGACAGTTTAGTGCATCAGAACAAGAGAGAAAAGCTGAGAAGAGCAATGGGTGACCTCAGATGGATGAAAGTTTGTTTATTTGTGATGCTAGAGCTTCATTCTACAGGTAAGACAATATAGAAATGTTGAAATAGCTCTGAAATATGACTGTATTAAGAATATTTATTCTACTATATTCAGTAAACAAAGGCTACATTTATCATTCTACCATAAATCAACTATTTTCTGTCTTTAAACCTGAAAAATGACAAAGAAATATCTTAACAAACTCTTATTTATTCTGGAATCTTAAAGTATTCCGATTTTCAACTTCTATTTTTTTTCTCAACTGTCTCTTCCTGTTTGTCGACAGTGTTTGCAGATGAAGTAGCTGCTTGGATAAGATCTGGAGATACCATGGTTTTGTCCTGCCAATGTTTGATTAGTGGTCAAACAAACTGTAATGGCACCACATGGGTCTTCAGTTCAAGGAACTCCTTAGTAGAGCTGGTTAAACTCGGAAAGATTGACCCAAATCTGCAAAATAAATCAAACAGACTGAGTTTAGAAAGCTGTTCTCTGGTAATAAGGAATGTCAGAGTGGAGGATGCTGGTCATTATCATTGCCAACAATACAAATCTGGAAGCAAACCAGATTATCACATCCTGGTTCATCAGTGTGGAGTTGATCTGTCTGTCGTCCACGGTGAGTATTAATATGAAGCCATTTTTCTCATTGTCACTGTTTTATTAGGGCTGTTGTTATTTTACTGCAGAATCACTATTTTGTCTGAAAAATATAAACTCATTTATAGCCACAATAAGTACCGTGACTTCAGGTTAATTAAATTACTCAAAATCTCTGATCTCATGAAATTTCTATTTTGCATGTAACTATTGTTGCAGCAAATCGAAAACTGGAACATATTAACTCTTTAGTTTTGTTATTATCTTTGTCTGAAGTTGAAATAATAGCTGAAACCACATGCAGCCCAACCAGAGAAATTGAAGAAAGAACAGAACCAAGTCCAATGCCAACAGATTCTAATGGAGGTAAAGATGCTGTGAACCCCCTTCATTGTTGCAGGTTTCTCTCCACTATACTCTTAAACTTGTTTTAAGTGTTTATTTATAATGATGACAGCAGTTGATATTTTTTCAATCTTTATTATTGAGCTTAAGATTAAGTTTAGAAAATAATCTCTAATACTTGGCTATAAAATATATCACAGCATCAACAAAATTTATCAAATAATTCACCTGCTAGTATGTAATTCACCAGTCCTGTCAATTCTATCAAACATTATTCAGAGAGCAATAGATAAAGTGCTGATTGTTCTAAAAAGAAACTCTTCTGATGACGACGGTCTGATTCAAGAACAATGTTTTTTTCCCCATTTATTTAGAAATGTCTTAACCCAAAGAAAACATCAGGTTGTGCTATTGGTGTGTTTCACATTTTGCTTTTATTTAATTTCAGACTTAAATACCATAAACAACATGATGCAATATAAAACCAATTTAAAAAAAAGAAATAATAGAATCGTTTGATTTTGTAGAGAATATAATAACAAAATAAAGGCAATTAAAAACATAGGTAAAGGAAAGCTTTAGGTAAAGCTGCTTAGACTTTTGACAAGAGAACAATATTCTTCTCTTTTAGGTTTATGGCATATCATCATCGTCTCTGTGGGTTTAGCAGCTCTTTCTATAACGGTTGTGAGCGTCAGCGTTTGGACCAGAACTAAAGGTAAGATAGAAAGAAATGGAGCAGATTTATAATCTCTATAGTTGGTATAAATCTTAGAATATCAAATACTGTGCAGAAAAAGTTGGTTTATTGTGTTTTATTCTCCTCTAACACCTGTTATTGATGTAAAGTTAGGGATTTTATTGTCACTATTTGCATTTTTAAACAAAATTTTTACCAATCTGTCTCATTATTGGCAACAAAAAAAGGAAACTCTACAGTCAAGGCTTAGCCTGATCTATTTGGATTATTTAATATTTGAGATTCTCTGTGAAAAGAGAAATGATGTTGTAATTGATGAAAAATATCTGCCCAGAATAAAGGTAACAGTGGATAAAATGAGGTGAAAAGGTGTTTGCATCAACAACCTGACAGAGGTTATCAATCAGCCTCTCAGTGAGAGAAACACTTTGCAGGAGCAGCTCTATAGGCTGTCACTTCCACCTCTCAGGTGCTTCTAGATCTTTACCAACTGAACCCAAAGCTGCAGGAAGGAAAAGACAAAGATGCAACAAGATCAGAGTCCTCTTTGACTAAACCCAGATTAAGATGCATGAGCCTGGCTTTATCTCCTATTCTGGAATTTCTGAATTCAGCTTTTTTAAAGAAGGCCTCTGAGCCTTTAAGAGTTACTTAGTTTGAGGTGTTAAATAGTGATTCAGTGATTCCATTAACTGCCGCTGATTTTTTTTCTTTTGTCTGTTTCTAAAAGAAGTGATGTTTGTTTTTCTATTTTTATTTTTCCTTAAGAGCATAAAGAAGATGAGGATGGAGAGAACTATGAAAACACCTGAGGACTCTTTAGTTTGCTTTACACTTTTTCAAACACAAATCTGTATAAATCTAAAGTCAAGGCTGTGTATATTGGGTCAGAGTATATTTTACTTCAACATGGAGGAAAGCAAATATCACCTTAAAGTATCACAAAGCAGAAAAAGTATTAATGTTTGTTTAAATGTGTGGCATTACAGAATCAGTATATGTGAGCTTTGAATGAGGTTTGAAAATGAAATCTGTTCAAGAAAATATGCAAAATGCTTTTAAGTGTAAAGCTGAGATGAGCTTAGAGGTTGTTTAGTTGATGACGTCATTGTGTGGCTGAAGCATCACAACAGGCTGCCTTGTTTAGCAAAGTGGAGTTTTTGACGAATTATTCTGTTTTATTATGACTCAAAATATTTTAGGTCTTGACGTGTGTAGAATAACTTAAAGAATCTTTAGGAATCATTTCCTCATTTTTAACCATTTTGCTTTTCAATCTACAGCCTTTAGTCTGCATCATCTGTTTTTTTTATATATATATCTCTTCTTAAAGATGTTCTCAGTTTTTATAATTCATTGTGTAAAAACTGTAACGCTCATGTGTAGTTAAATTAGTTTTTGTCTGCAAATGTGTTATTATATGGCTGTAGCCTCAATAAACTAAGTTAATGTCTGTTAATGTCACCCATCAATGTGTTAACTACGTATATTTCTCTGTTCATTGTGGGTTAAAACCTCCAGAGCTCTGCTGCTGCTGTTCACCACATTCTCACCAATCACTTCCTCTTTAGTTAGAAAAACACTTCAGAGTCTGAACTGGAAACCAGCAGGTTTTAAAAGTGAAATACAATCTTACCAGTGTGACTGATCAAATTAGACATTTGATCTGCTGCTCTTCATCAACACAGATCAGATCTCCTGGATTTATCTGATTGATTCTCCATGTTTCTGAAACATCTAAACAAAAGNTAGGTTATCAAGCAGCCTCTCAGAGAGAGAAACACTTTGCAGGAGCAGCTCTATAGGCTGTCACCACCTCTTAGGTGCTTCTAGATCTTTACCAACTGAACCCAAAGCTGCAGGAAGGAAAAGACAAACATGCAACAAGATCAGAGTCCTCTTTGACTAAACCCAGATTCTAATGCATGAGCCTGGCTTTATCTCCTATTCTGGGATTTTTTAAATTCAGCTTTTGTAAAAAAAAGGCCTCTGAGCTACCAGAACGTCACATGTCTAAGGCTCTGGATTACCTTTAAGAGTTACTTAGTTTGAGGTGTTGAATAGTGATTCAGTGATTCCATTAAATGCTGCTGAATTATTTTCTTTTTTAGGTTTCTAAAAGAAGTAATGTTTGTTTTTCTATTTTTATTTTTCCTTAAGAGCATAAAGAAGATGATGATGGAGAGAACTATGAAAACACCTGAGGACTCTTTAGTTTGACCAAATATACACAGCCTTGGCTTTAGATTTATACAGATTTGTGTTTTGAAAAGTTTAAAGCAGAGTATATTTCACTTCAACATGGAGAAAAGCAAATATCACCTTAAAGTATCACAAAGCAGAAAAAGTATTAATGTTTGTTTAATTGTGTGGCATTACAGAATCAATATACGTGAGCTTTGAATGAGGTTTGAAAATGAAATCTGTTTAAGTAAATATGCTAAATGCTTTTAAGTGTAAAGCTGAGATGAGCTGAGAGGTTGTTTGGTTGATGACGTCATTGTGTGGCTGAAGCATCACAACAGGCTGCCTGGTTTAGCAAAGAGGAGTTTTTGTCTAATTATTCTGTTTTATTATGACTCAAAATGTTTTAGGTCTTGACGTGTGTAGAATAACTTAAAGAATCTTTAGGAATCATTTCCTCATTTTTGACCATTTTGCTTTTCAATCTACTGCCTTTAGTCTGCATGATCTGTTTTTTTTATATCTCTCTTCTTAAAGATGTTCTGTTTTTATAATTCATTGTGTAAAATCTGTAATGCTCATGTGTAGTTAAATTAGTTTTCGTCTACAAATGTGTTATTATATGGCTGTAGCCTCAAATAAACTAAGTTAATGTCTGTTAATGTCTTCTATCAATGTGTTAACTACGTATATTTCTCTGTTCATTGTGGGTTAAAACCTCCAGAGCTCTGCTGCTGCTGTTCACCACATTCTTACCAATCACTTCCTCTTTAGTTAGAAAAACACTTCAGAGTCTAAACTGGAAACCAGCAGGTTTTAAAAGTAAAATACAATCTTACCAGTGTGACTGATCTATGAAATTAGACATTTGATCTGCTGCTCTTCATCAACACAGATCAGATCTCCTGGATTTATCTGAATAATCTTCCAAGTTTCTGCAACATCTAAACAAAAGAAGAAGTGCATTTCTCACATTTATCTAAAGTAAAAATATTCACACACTGATCTTCTTCCTCTTTTATGGACTTCTTGCATGTCACTGTCTGTAACGTCCTATAATCAGCCTGAACAAAAAGCTCTCACAATGTTTAAGTTTATATTTTCTACTACAGCTCTTTTCTTGAAATGTGGATGTTCTTGTTAAAAGAATTACAAGTCATTGTTGTAACTAATAGATGTTTTTACCACATAAAGCAGCAAGTGGACCATCAGTCAGAGTGAGGAAGTGGTGAGTCTCAGGAAGTAGAAGCTACATGTGTGTTCAGGAGGCAGTCAGACAGTTCTGAGGGTGAGAGCAACAGACGCACGATGGCTCAACTCAGATGGATTCAAGGGTTTTTATTAATGATCCTGCAGCTCACAGGTAGGAAAACTGAAAACCTTCGTATAGAGCTATAAATGATAGATCTGCTTTATTCAGTGTCTGTGCACAGATTAAATATTTCTGGCTCTGTTTTATCTTCTAACAGTCACTACATGGGTCTTCAGTGCTTCAGGAAGCAGAGCATCAGTCATTTATCAGAATGACATCACTAAAGCAGACAGACTGATTCTATCAGCTGGTTATAAAGAAGGAGCAGATTTTACCAGGTTGGATAAATTCATGATGTTCCAGGCTTTCTGCTGGACAGGTAAGGTAACCCAATATAACAGTGAAGTTTATTTTGCTCCTTTGTTAAAAAATAAAAGAAGAGAGAGACGGGTAGTTTGTTAGCCTATATTGGATGAGCCTGGATGCAAAAGTTATTAGCTGCTGTAAGATATCACTCCACCGATTCCTTAGTAGATCCAATGATCTCTATATATTTACTGGATTG